GCTATACACTTATATTTATGCAATATACATACATTTTAATTTGATTCAACTGTATGCAAAGCTAATTATACAATTGCAGCGAAATAGGCCAGCGAATTATACAATTTAGGCCAGCGAATTATACAATTTAGGAATGCGAATTATACACTTGTATATGTATAGCGAATTATACAGTTTTTATGTTTGCTATGGAGCGCAATTATGCAAAGTTTGCTATAGCATATAAATATGAATTTTTTGTTTGCTATATGTGAAAGTTGCCCAATAATAAATCATCGTTTCTCTGCTTTGAGCGTGCATTTTTATCTCATAATTAAAATCTTTCTTTCTTTATTTTCTCAATTAAACACCGTTTTTTTCTCTTGAAGTGATAAGTTTTCATAAATCTTTTCAAGTATTTTTTATATTAATAATTTTCTTATATTGTCTGTGTCAAGAACACTGTTGGTGTATAGACATTTATCAAGGTTTTTGAATGAAAATAATAATACTCCAAATCATTATTATAATAACTTTTAAAACTTTTTTTTGTCAAAAGTGATATTTTGTTTTGAAATGAAATTTTTATGATATTTTATTAATTTAATGTTAATTTCACATGATTGAAAACAAACAGTAATAATTATTTAGTGTTCAGATTTAGAGATCACATCTTAATATTTAAATGTGCGTTCTATTCAAAACACCTGAATATTAATGTAAATCTTAATATTTAAATATGTATTGCATGTTAATCTTAATAGAAATAAATGATGCCAAAGTATGTGTATACACATATTTGATACAAATAACACTAATTATGTTTATTAAATTAATAAGCGATAATTTAGATATATTTCTGACGCGAGCAATCAATCAAAATGAATTCTCTGACGTGGACATTGTGCTATTGGTAACTCTTGTTGAAAAAATGACTGTAATTAACCCAAGAAAAGTATATAGAGAAGCAAGAGAGATATTGTGATGTGAGGACGGAAGAGTGGGCGCCAATGGAGAAGCACAAGGACCCAATTCTTACCTGTCAAAAGTCGTCGTCTTTACATTTATAGGGTCCCAATTTCCAACCACCCTTTATATACCCACGCCCATGCTCCCCTCAATTCATTACCACTGTCTCGAGATCCACTCAGAATATGAACTTATGATACATGGGTAAAGCCAGCAGATGGTTACGTTCACTTCTCGGTTCTAAGAAATCGCCGTCCGAATCATCACCACCGGCGAAAGAGGGAAAGAATAGCAAATGGGGTCTCCGAAAATCTTCCAATGGAACTGGAAGAACCACTGGAGCTGAGATTGCTTATGGGAATGAAGACCCACCGGCAAGCCCTTACGCGGAAGCACTGGACGCGAACAAGCACGCTATAGCGGTTGCGGCAGCCACTGCGGCGGTTGCAGAGGCGGCACTGGCTGCCGCTCAGGCTGCGGCGGAGGTTGTCAGGCTTACAAGTGGTAAGAGGTCCACTTCGGCTTATGGAAGTAGTAACACCGAACGCCGCCGTGAATGGGCTGCCGTTAAAATTCAGTCAGAATTTCGTGCTTACCTGGTTAGTGTTTTTTTTTTTAATTCGATTCAATTTGTTTGTTTGATTTTAATTTGAAACTCTTTCGATAAATGAATTGAAACGCAGTAAGTATAATGTCAATACGATTTTAGTAAAATTAGTTGTTATCAAGATCGGTGGTTTGGGATGAAGAATTGAAGGAGACAACTGACAAGTTGCACAGTAACTTCGCAATCGTAACGAAATGATACCATGGGTATCAAAACTATCCACTCCTTCGTGTCTGTTAAGTCACTGTCACTTTTTTTTTTTTTGAATCTTCCATTAATTAATTTTTTGACTTTGTATCCTCTTCACTTCTCTTGTAGCATCAATAGTTGTTCTTTTTTTCATTTTTTTAGCTAAATCTGTATAAAAGATTGCTTCTTTTTTGCTTTTTTGGCAGTATCAGCAAAGAAACACTGTTCATTTTAAGGTTTAAAAAAGAAGTTAAACTTGTGTTTTTGACAAACCTCATTTTCCTACCTACCTAGATCCAAATCAATAATTAAAACAAGGAGGGGGGGGGGGGGGGCATAGCATACTAGAGAGTTGGTTTGTCTAATGTCTTAGTGAACTTTAAGTAATGGACTAGGTGAAGTGACTTGTCTTTCTCTACTATAATGGAGTGAGATTTTTTTTCTTCTTATGTTAAGTGGTGTCAAGATTGAGGAAAAGGACATGCCAACCACCCTGTTTCACTCCAGTTAACTTAACAAAACAGCTCATTCGTGTCCATACTAATATTATGATTCTCATTAATGGTGATGAATATAGTTACAAGTCTATAATCTTGTTTCCAGGGAGAAATATATTGAGAAAAGTCGACAATTTTAGATTAATGGGGGGTCATGGTACCACAGCGCTTTGTGATTTTGGGTGCAGGTTTAATATAAGTAGATGTTTTTTCAACAAATTTTAGTTGTATATGTAGAGTCGGATAGGAGGACAATAAGTCTACCTTCAGCTGGTGCCGACAGTATAGATCTGCAATAGGTGCTAATTGAACACTTAAAAGGTTCAAAATTAAGCTGCCTACAGACCTCACTAGATAATACCTACTAGATAAAATTAATATAACTCATAGACATGATTCAAGAAGAGGATCGAGCACATTACT